GAAACACCAGGGCAATGGGCAGCCTCCTCTACAACGGCCACTAGATATAAAAGGAGCTGTACCACCACAAGGGCTCCAAAATTTCCCTCCATTCCCAATTCTAGTTTCCTGTGAACAATCAGAAGAGGTGCAGATCTAGGGATTCAAATTAAAACAAACAAACAAAAGACTTTCACTGGTTGCTCCAAATAGTATTATGGAAAGGCTCCTCCGATGGTTTTCCAGACTCGAGGTAACTAACTGACAGAACATGGCTGCACAGTCCTCATCTCAACTGCCAAGAACCAGGGGCCTAATCTAGCTCCATCCAACACCTAGAGTAACCCTGGCCAAACTCCTCCATATCTCAATTTCCTAATGCTTTCACAGAGAAGCTTCAAAATGCTGATGTTTCCTAACAGGAGTATTACTCTAAATCATTAGAAATGTAAACTTACTGGTGACAGATGTCATATGAACAGTTTATAAAGACAATTCTGCACATTTATCTCATAATTAGAAAATTGTCCTAAAGTTTCATTCCTTTTTGCTTCTATATTTGTATATTTTTATATTAACACGAAAACATTTCATTTCTCTGATTGAGGTAAGCATTATCTGATGACACAGGTTTGTGATTTTCTTATAACTGTGTCTAGTAGAAAATCTACTTTTAACTGAGCATTTAAAAAATGGTGTTTGACTGAATTACTGAGGAGGAAATCATTCCTGGCTTACCCTTTATATGATAATTTCCTTATAACCAATCTTTCTGGTTATGTATCTTTTTTTTTAACATTTCAGACAATGATACAGCATTTATTTAGTTATTTTCTTTCTTCTCCCCAAAGCCCCCCAGTACATAGTTGTATATTTTAGCTGTGGGTCCTTCTAGTTGTGGCATGTGGGACACCACCTCAGCATGGCTTGATCAGCAGTGCCATGTCCGCGCCCAGGATCCAAACCAGCAAAACCCTGAGCCGCCAAAGTGGAGCCCACGAACTTAACCACTCAGCCACGGGGCTGGGCCCTCTGGTTATATATCTTTCAGGCTGAGTTCTCAAGGATCATCTACAGATATATAATAATCACAGGTTTTAACTGTATCTAAAATATGTTGTCTATCTTGTCTCAAGACACTCTTTTTTAGAAGTTGTTATGTAAAGCAAAGAACTTTTCCACTACTGCTTTCCTTAAAAACTAGATTGGTTTCCAGTTACAGCCTCAACCATTGACTATTGAATGATGTTAATGCTCGATTCCTATATAGTCCTATTTCATTTAACTGACATAAAAAACTTAAGACAGAAGGACAAAAACAGAATTTAACTTATATTCCATCACATAGAAAAGCTATGATCTTCCATTTCTGAAAGGTTTTCTCTCAATGTGGTAGTTTATCATAGAAAAGAAATATATAAACAAACTGTGGTAAGCTCACATTTTTGACAGATGATGCTAAAAATTTTTAAAAAACAGAAATGCATACCTATAGGACAACTGTTATTTGTAAGATAAAAAGATGAAATCACAACTTTATACTGCCTTACAACCCAGACTTCCCATTTTAGAAGTTGGGAAATACTTTCAACTGGATGCCAGTCTGAAAACAAAAACAAAAATAGTCTTATAAGACAGCAAAGTCCCCTTGTCTGATTATGCACCAGGCTGTAGTACTAAAGTGATTCCTGGGGGCTTTGTTCATATGAAAAAAATGACAAACTGTTTAAGTATTTTTTAGTATTGGGACTTCAAAATATCAATGTTTTTCCACCCTCTAGATTTAGTTCATACCAAACCACAAACTAGAAAGCATACGGAAGAAAACATATACGTGTGTGTGTGTGTGTGTGTGTGTGTGTGTGTGTGTACAGGCACGAAAAGAAGTCCTTCTCCATCAATATCCTTCCAAATCCTGAATTTTCTTACCTAATAAACTTCTCAAAAGCTCCCTTCTGATGAACACTTCTAGTATCCTCAAAATGAAGTCAGAGATTCCTAGACCCAACCTCAGACCTCCTCAATCAGATGGTTAGAATGAGCCCTGGCATCTACATTCTTTAATATAAATTTAAGTTACTCTGAAATACCCTAACCCTGCATGCAAATGAGGACAAATAAAGCTAGACAATTATCAAATAACTACTTGTCCCAATCTAGCACATCTATCAAAAGACCTGGAAAGTTGCCATGGATTTTTTTTTTGTTTTTTGGTAATATATAAATCACTACTTCCTAATAGTTTCACCTCCACCTGCCTAACAGGACATAAAAGTCACTTCCAAACTAATCTTGCATACTGGTCTAGCACATCTCTCTCCCCATAAAAAGTCACCAAAGATCCAAAGCCAGACTGGATACTCAGTCTTCAGCATAATGGTTAGCAGTCCCACCCAAGAGCAAGACCAAAAGTACCTCCTAAACCAAATGGGAATTCCTGGCACTAAGGTCCTTCCTTCTAATCCCTTTCTGGGGAAGCGCATATTAATTGGGTTACAGCAGTAGGTTACCTGGACAGTAGGATGTTCATCAAATGAACCCATTATCAGCATGCAGAGAGCAAGGCCCAAGAAGAATGAGCCATACTGACAGCAAACAAGGAAAGTACAGAAAGCCCTACTGGAACAGATGAAGTACTGAAAGTCAGAACGACAAAACAGAAAATAAATGTGCCTCCCTTACAAATTTATAGGTCAGAGGGTAGCAAGATTTTAATTGAAAGATATGTGGTCCTGAATTACTGAAACTTTTTGTTAAGCTCTCACACCTCTCTCCATATATAGAGATATAAGAGAAAGTGTAAGTGGTGAAGATTTTATTAAAATAGGAAGAATGTGTAACAACAGCCAATACCAAGCATGATAAATCCTGCAGTTATAAAGTCTATGGATAATGAAACACTCTGCACCAGAACACCGAGACCTAAAGGAGAAGAATTAAATGTACATATCCTTTGTACTCGAAAGGATTAAGTACAAAGTTAAACATACTTTTCACTATACCATATCCTGTTTGAAGACACTAGAAAATTCTACAGCTATCAAAAGTTCTGAAATAAATAATCAATCCTTCTTAAACCTGAAAAGTACCTCAAATTTCTAGGAGCTAATTTCTTGTTGACTTTAGAAGTTGTAGTTTCTATTCGTCTTGTTAAAGGACAGGAGATAAGCCTCTCGAGGAGTGATTAACACATTAACTAAAATGATGCATTGCCAAACGGTCTCCAGCACAGACAGTGAAAATCTGGAACATAGATAAGAAAGGACTGAAAATCCAATTTCCTACATGAAAGTTGAAGCACTCCTTTTTTGTTCTCCTCTCTGGGACTTTTCCATTGCCCTTCCGAATGTGACAACTTTCAAATATTCACATCTGGAGGAGCATATTCTAAGAGGGGAGAAAAGGCCCCAATTTTAAGACTCGAGAATGTACTGTCATTCTGTAGGCACAGGTTCACCAAATAAGCTAGCAACAATCTTGAACAATTGGGTGACTCAGCCTTGTGGGGATTTTTTTTTTTTAATTGCATGAAAGTTCACACTTAAAATCCTACAAACATGGAAGCTCCAAGCAGCCTACCTGGAACAAAGAAAAAGCCTTGGCATATTCATTTGAAAGGATTTAATAATTTGTATTAAACACGTTTTACACTAACGTACTAGACGGTCTCTAAGATTCCTTTCTGCTCAAACCTTCCTTAATTCTCTTAGTAACTTTACCAGACTATTCTTAGAGCCTTAGTAGTAATTACAAATAGAACCTGAACGAGAAAGAAAATTCAGAAGTAAAGTTGTCATCATTAAGCCTAATGAAACGGTGCAGACAAGAAGATGGCAGTAGAATGAAGCATTCTGAATCAGGCACAGGGAAAACAGAATGAGCAGTGCGCAGTCCCATGAACGAAGCACAACATACAGCAAAGTCTGGCAGGGGTTTGGGATAGTATAGTGGCCAATGTTTCTGTCTCTTGGGTGGCAAGTGACCCACCCAAACAGAAGGAGACTTTGGCTTCTATGAATGTGACAAACCATCCACCTGAAGTAAACAACCACTCGCAGGAAAACATAACCAGAGAGTGAGTGAATCCTCTAACTCTAGGGTGAATTCTCCCTAGCAGTTTTCGTACTTTCTATCCCCAAGGGGAATCGATATACTCAACGCCGCAAAATGGTAAGACATCTCACCCCTACATTGTGACACGGGCACTTCGAGTCCAGACAAAAGCCATCGTTGTAACTAGGATGGGATTTATTCTCTCCTTTCGGCAAAGGGCTGTGGCTGTTGGCTGGGCATCCTGCAGGCTCCTGCTTTGACTCTCGCCTCGTCACATTGTGATATCACCGTGACGGACCCTTGATATTTAAGGAATCTTGGACTGAAAAACTGCTATAAGCGGGAGCCGGGGAAAGGAAGCCTGAACGCCCCGCGGAGTGCCTCCGCGACAAGACAGGAGGGTGACAGCGCGGGCAGGCACCTCCCGGCACGAGCAGAGGTGAGCCAGCCTTTCCGCAAGTTCCTCTTCCTTCTACCAAATTAGCCCGCCAAGCCCCCCACCCCCACCGCATCCTATGAGAAAAGTCACGCCGGCCGCTCGCTGAAGGACAGGCGGACAGCGCCTGGCGCCACACACAAGTTGGCTTTGGCAGCGGCCGCGGCTTAACCCTTCCTGCCCGACCCCGCCTTCCCCGGGGGCAGAACCGGGCGGCCAACTTTCCCGCGGCCCCCTCCTCTGCGCACAGCAGCCCAAACTTTGCCGTCGCCCACCTGGCCGCGCAGCCGAGCGTCGGGTCCGGCCGCCCCCGCGACCCCGGCCCCGGCCCGCGGCGGCACTGACCTTCACGCCGGTACCCCTACCCCGGCCGCGGCCCGCCCCCCGACCCTCCAGCTGCCTCCCCCAGGCCCCTCTACCGCCCCCAAACCCTTGCGGGAACCCCGCGGTGGAGGCGACCCCGCGTGTCACGACCGCCCACGACCCTCTGGGCCCCGAGAGCCCGGCCAGGCGCCTCCGGCCGCCCACTCACCGTTGGTGAAGGGCTCCATTTTCCCCCCGCCGCCGCTCTCGACCGCCCGAGCGCCCAAGCTTCCTACTCCGAGAGCTGAGGCGGCCCTGCCGACTGAGCATGCCCAGCGAGGCCGGGAGGGCTGCGGGGAGGTGCCGCGAGGAGCGCCGCCGCTCCGGGTTTTCGCGACAGCTGCACAAAGAGCGAAAGAGGCTAGAGGGAACGGAGCCGCACAGCCCCAGGCGGACTCCGGGGAGGACGGCGAGGGGCGCGGAAACGCTGGGGGGCGGCCCCGTGGGCGTGGCCTGAACGAGCCCCGCCCCGCCAGGAAGGCCGGCCGGTCTGGTTCTTCCCCTGCCCATAGCGGCGTTAAGTCAATTCAGCAAATGAGACGGCCTACTGCGTCCAGGCCCGCCCGGGTCCTAGGCGCTAGGAAACCGAGACTCCGCCAGCAAAACGTGGTCATTGCCCCGTGGAGCGGACATTCCAGGGAAAGGCAATAAACACAGAAGACACACGAGACTGAGATAAATGCCCCGCTGAACATTAAGTCGGGGTGATGTGATGGAGAGTGAGTGCGTAGCTAATTCAGATAACTTGGTGAGGAGAGGCCTCGCTGGGAGGTGCCACTGAAGCCGAGATCTGAAGGCAGAGCTGGAGCCTGCGGGCGACGGTCGCTCCCTGGACTGCGAAGCTCGGTTTCCCTGGGGGAGACTGGCTCCGGGGAGCCCATTTTGCCAAGGCTCGAAGGAGCCGGCGCTGAGGGTTGTCTCGGCAGGGCTGCCGGCCCACGGCAGAGCGGTCCCAGCGGTCGGAGGCCAGGAGAGTGATGGCAGGGCTGGGACCCCCGCGGGGCCGAGAGCGCCTGCGCTGGTTCCGGGCGCGGCCTCTACATGCAGGCGGATCACAAAACCCGGCGCTGGATCCGCCCGGGGCCGCGGGCGCTGCAGGATGTGGGCAGAAGGCCCGGCCCAGCTGAGCCCTAAACCAACACCTGCGGCTCCGGGGGTGCGCCGCAGGGTCCCGCGGCCAGGCGGGGCCGGGCCGGGCCCGAGAAACAGAAACTCACTTAGTCGCCCCCGCTCCCCAGCACTCGCGCCATTGTCTCCATCCCCGAGCCACCATTGTTTCCAATGTCAAATCCGGGCTGACCCGGCGAACCTTCTAGATGGAGCAACCTGGGGTCCCGGGAGCCCCGCTTCCTCATCCCTTGCTCGGTGTGCGCATCGCCGCCCCGCTCGCAGCGTGGCCCCCTCATTGCGCTGCCACAGCCTCCTCTCCCTCCTCCGCACCCGCTGCCCCGGCCCCTGCAGCCACTTGGCTCTAGCTGTGCCTCGCTGCGCCTGCCAACTGTCACACCCCCCTCCGAGGCTGTCAACAGCAGGGCGTCGGGTGCAAACAAGCCGGCGGGGAGCGCAAACAGCCTGGGCAAACAGGGACGGCTCGGGATTCGTTTGACCGGCATGGGAATTAGAAATTAGGTTTCAAAGAAGTAAAATCAAAGTGCAATATTGTGTTTTTAAATGTCAATTGTATTAAATCACCCACTTCCCACTCACGCTTTAGAACCTCCAGCGGATACCGATCACGCTTAGAATAAAAGCGAAACTCCTTACTTTAACTCCGGGACATCATCTTCTACACGCGCTCACCATGCTTTGGCCACAGAGGCCTTCTTGCGGTTCCTGGAAGTCACCAAGTTCCATCCAGCTTTGTTAACCATTCCTTTTGCATGTGCCTTACGCCTGGTACTTTGCCTGCGGGTTTCTTATTGTCATTTAGGTCTCAGCTCAGATGTCACCTCTGCAGAGCGCCCTTCCCTGACCACACAATCTAAAATAGCCACAAACATACTCTAGTCTATAAAGACTGGGCCCTGCTTTATCTTCCTGACACTGCTCATCAATCTCTCAAACAGTGTTTTTGTTTGTTGTTTCGTTATTACCAATTTCCCTCTCAAGAATGCCAGCTCCGTGAAGGCAGTGTCATTATCTTTTTTAAGGGCTGTCTCCTAATCTCTAGATAAGTATGCAATAAATAATTTTTGAATGACTATTTGAGCGGATGTAATGGTATTTAGAGTTCTAGTTCACTTGCAATACTGAAAACTCTTCCAGAGAACATCTCTCTATATTGCATGGTGTGTTTGTGTACAGTACAGAGAAGGTGTCTGTATCACATGATACCTCAGAGCTGCTCTGTGGTCACTGTGTTAAAGATAATTAGAGCCCTTAGGTTACCTGTCCCCCACCCCACCCCCAAGGGCACTTCAGAACCAAAACTACTGAACCACAAGGGCTGGTGCATCTGTGTTCAGATATATAGTATACGCAGGGCTGGATTTTGTTAAAAGGACCTCACACATTGTATTGCTTAGATAAAAGGCTCGTCCCTATATTTTTGGTCATGTCATGTTCCTTTGGAGTTATTTTTGCAGCCAAAGCACTTAGTATCAGAGATATTTGAAACTCCGCAACTTGTTAAATCCCCTCACGTCACCTCGCCTGTAAGCTAGAGTGTAGCATGCTTCTAAGTGTAAAACACGTTATCTTGTGTTTTGTCTTAAATACTTTAATTCAGTGGAGACATGGTAAAAATGCTTTGCCACTGTAATAGCAAATGTAGGTGGATCATCATGTCTTTCTGAGATTTCTTTGACAGAGATAATAACTTCTTTATCCTCTCTTTGCCAACCACTTGCCTCCCATCCCTCCCATTCCTACACACACACACACACACACACACACACACACACACACACACGCAAAGACATTAAGAACCATTTAAAGACTTGAGGTTTTGTATTGAAAGTAAAAAGAGTAAACAAAACCAAAATGTTTCCAAATCCTACCTACCCTAAAGAGACTGATAATGAATTTTGTTTTGTTTTATTCTGTTCTCTTTTTTTTTTTGGATACTGTTTTGCATTTGACTCCATAAAGCATTTCTGAGGAAACGCAATTTCACAAATTCACTGCTGAAACCCATTATGCTTCAGTCTTTAATCTCCTCCTATCCTCCCACACAGAACTTCCTCTTTAAGGGCATAATAATACTTTAAATTATTATGAAGTTGCTGTTCATTATCAGAGGAGATAGTGTGACATTACTATACTGATCTACTATTTTCAGGATCTACCATTTAACATTTGAAAACCAAAAATTTGGAGGTCTAATTATAATATATAATAAATAGCATGAAAGGAGAAATATGACCTCCCTGAATAACAAACAACATTTATTTATAGAGAAGCAACAAACTTGCTAATCGATGAATACAGGAACTTTTTTTCTCATCAAAATAAAGCACTTAGTCTGCCATGGATCAACAAATCCAAGCCTGAATTTAACAAATGAGGGAAGTAAAGCCTAGAGAGGTTACTGGATTTACTCGCAGTCCAGTGGCAGACGTGGACTAGAACTTGGGTGGTCTGTGTTCTAAACTAGTGCTCTGGAGGTTGCTATTTCTTCCCTATTCCACAGGGAAATTGGGGTCAGTGACAATAATCCACGAAAGGGATGTGGAGTAAAGAGAAATGTAGCTAACTTTGGGGCCACTAGAAGTCTAATTATTTCATTGATATTCCAATTTAATTTATTGATGCGCCATGTCAACTTTAGGTTTAACATTATTAAATAATCTTTCTAATTATTTTGAAATAAACAATACATTAGTTCAGTATACACATTTGAAAATGATATTTGTTCAGCACTCTTGAATAAATAGAGGATGCTACTTGCTGCCAGGACAAGGATGACCACCATGAGGTTTCCAGCTACTCCAGACTCTACCCACCCACCTCAAGGACCAGAGGGGTCATAATCTCATTACCTTTGTAACTGGTTTGCAGCATACATGCTCTGCATCGATTAGTGATGTTTTGAAGTTATACCAAATTAAGAAATGTTTATAGCATTAAGGAAAGTGGAATAATTATCCAACAGAGCTCTTGCACAGTTTAGACATCAGCAAAAAGATTCAGCTACATAAACTGGAAGGTTATTAGAAAGGAACAGTTATATAATAGTTCAAATGCTTTGAACTACGAAAACCAACACATTGAATCAAACTAGTTTAAACAATAAGGAAATTTATCATCTCATATACAAGTCCAGAGATAAGGTAGTCCCCTGTCACAGCTCCCCAGCCTTATCAAGAACCCAGCTTCTCATTTTGTCCACATGTGAGCAATTTTCCCTAAGACCAAGTGCCATGTGGTCAAAAAGGCAGATGCAGGGCAGGGGGTGGAGTGGGAACCCATTTTTTTGGTATCTCTTTCTCAAGCGCAAGGAAGCTTTTCTCAGAAATCCTCCATTAGAATTCTAAGCTTTTATTTGTCAAAACTGTATTTTGTATATTTCTAAACCAATCACAGGAAATGGAAACTGGGTTACCATGAATGGTTTCTTAGACAAAGCAGAGTTAAGAATCACCGAGTGCTGAGTTTAGGATCACTTCCTCTGTTTCATGTGGGGGGTGACTTGATATTTTCACTATCACTAATATTTTTAATGATTTTTTTTAAAACCCTAAGTCACTTGTACAGGAAAAGTAAAAATAAAGCCCAGCTCAGTGTAATTTTTCATATAATTGATCAATATAACCAGGATTATAAACCAAGAAATGATTTTATTATTAAACTTTGAATTTTGACCTGAAAGTAACTGCTAAAATGGAAAAATAAATCTTAGGCATTTGTATTAGTTTGCTAGGGCTGATCTAAATACTACCCACAATCTGAGTAGCTCAAACAACAGAAATTTGTTGTTTCATCACTTTAGAGGCTGGAAGCCCAAAGTCAAGCTGTCAGCAGGGCCATATTCCCTCTGAAGGCACCAGGGAAAGATACGTTTCAGGCCTCTCTCCTAGCTTCTGGTAGTTCCTTGGCTTGTGGCAGCATAATTCCAGTCTTCACGTGGCATTCCCCGTGTATGCATTTCTGTGTCCATATTTCCCCTTTTAATAAAGACACTAGTCATATTGGATCAGGGGCTCACCCTACTCCAGTATGACCTCATCTTAACTAATTCGTCTGCAATGACCCTATTTCCAAATGAAGTCACATTCTGAGGTACTGGGGTTACGACTTCAACATAGGAATTTTGGGGGGATACAATTCAACTCATCATAACAGCATTTTTCTAGTAGAAATAAGGTGGAAGATAAGCATCAAGAAAGATTTTACT